GGGTTATTTTGATTAAATGTTATTTTTTCCCATTCTGGTATTACTATTGAAGTACTACTATTATTTTTGAATTATGGCTGAATAAATTAATGAATGTCTCCGCTGGGTCCTAAAGGCGAGAATGACTAGCCAAATATCTCAAATATGTGTATCATTTTCTCCCAAAACACTGTAGAGATGAACATGGGAGGTAGAGAAAGTGTTTTATCGGCTATGAAGCGCGCATTTGTGTCATCAATAATTAAGAGTGCTGGTGAAACGAATAGAAAAAACACGACACGAGAGGTAATTTGATAAAAAAAAAAAAAAAAAAAAAAAAAACAACAAAATTATTATGTTAGAGCTCAAATGAACTTTACAACGCAAAAACAACATTTGTACGCAGCTGTTCGGTGTCAGTTAAATCAGTTGACTGTTGAAATTCAAAATTTTTGACCCAACTGGTTGAGTTATTAAATAAATAAATAACATAATGAAGGTTAAAAATTACTCAACAAAGCATCAAATATTTAACCCAACTGGTTGAGTTGTTATTAAATAATCTAATAAAGGTTAAAAATTGTCACGTGAGGGGATCAAAGCAAGGAACAGAGACGAAGACCCAAGTCCAGATAAAATAAGATTATATTTAAGCAAAACAGGGACAAACAGAAGTGGCTGATACAAAAAGGACAATCCAAAAACGTAGTCAAAAAACTGGCATGAGGTCAAAAATAGATGGCAAACAGGAATCAAACAATAAATAAGGCTTAAGTCAAGAAACAGGCAAAACAACAAGAAGCTAGGACATGCAAGGTACGTACATCAACATCAAAGACTCCGTACTAAACTGGTGTATGTGTGGTGTATAAATAGTCTGAATGATCAGTCATCACAAGTCTCAGCTGTGTCTCATCAGCCTTGATGAGCAGCTGGTGTTTGGCATGGCCTGATAGGACTTGTAGTTCCTAAACATGACATTTGTAGTTCACCAGCGATCTGTCAGGAAGGGTCACTGGTGAACATGACAAAAAATAACCCAACAAAGCACCAAGTATGTTTAACTCAACCGGGTTAAAGAAATAACTCAACATTTTTTAGAATGTATATATGCAGCTGTTCTGAGTCAGTTAAATCAGTTGACTGTTGAAATTCAAAATTTTTGACCCAACTGGTTGAGTTATTAAATAAATAACCAAATAAAGGTTAAAAATTACCCAACAAAGCATCAAATATTTAACCCAACTGGTTGAGTTTTTATTAAATAATTTAATAAACGTTAAAAATAACCCAACAAAGCACCAAATATGTTTAACTCAACCATTCCCTGCTAAACAATCCAGCTTACACCTGCCTAAGCTGGTTGGCTGGTTTAAGCTGGATTTTTCAGCAGGGTTGGGTTAAAGAAATAACGTCAAGTACCTGCAGGCTGCATTTTGCTCACGAGGCTGTGAGAAAATAAATATAAAGAGCGAAGGTAAAATAATGAATAAACAGAGTGAGGCTATGGTCAAATAAAATAAATAAATGAAAAAAGTGCGACTGCTGAGAGTGCAAGCAGCTAGGGACACCGGCCCTCGTGGCCAAAAAACGGACCGGCGGCTTTAAATTTAATTAAAAAATTACTGTCACAGCTGTAGGGTGGAAAAAGGAGCGAGGACTCAAGTGCAGCAAGTTAGATGGGTTTATTAATTATAAAATAAAGCCAAAAGGCAACAAAAGCAACCCTGAGGGGGAAAACATTCACAAAAAACAAACTTGGCTGGGCAGGACATGATTCGAATAAACTACGTATGACATGCTGACGAAGCTATGAAAGTTGGCTCTCATACAAAGACGAAGACAGACGATGCGAGTGCTCAACCTGCGAAAACTCGAGCCGAGCACAACATACTAGACAAGACAGGACTAGAGTCTGAACTCTGCCAGCAAAACCAGAATCAACAAGACCGAAGTGGCAGAATCCTGACATTCACTGATCAAACATTTTGCTTGTGTGTGTGTGTGTGTGTGTGTGTGTGTGTGTGTGTTTATGCAGCCGAAACAACTAAACCCAAAGACGCTCGCGATGGCCTGCAAAAAAGACGCCTTTAAAAGCAACTTTGAAGCGGGTATAAAGATGATCATCAGCCATAATGTGAACATAGACGTCAAATATCTGCTCGTCGCAAAGTATCACTTCCACAGCGAGAGCTTTCTGGACGGGAAAAACCTGATCATCAAGGGAATGGAGAAGATCACAGAGCTGCTGAATCAGCAGAAGTTTAAAGATGCACGAAAGACTCTCGGGGAGATCATGCACACTCTACAGGTGAGTGGAGGAACACTTAAAGATCCCGTTAGTGCTTTGAAATGTGCATGCTTTTATTAGACATGAAGAGCGGGCGGGGCATAGAGTAGCTCCTCCCCTTTAAAAACAGCCAATAGTGTGTTGTTTTTATCACAGCTCTGCCAGTGAGAGTGGTTGAGCTCAAACGCATCAAATGAAAAGCAAATGAGAAGGGGGCGGGGCATGTCAGACACTAGAGAGCATTTGATTGGTCAGAAGATTTGATGAGAAACTGTCAGAAATAAAGGTATATGAGCGTTTACTAGGGTGGTACCTTTTCAGAAGGTAAACATTTGTTCTTAAAGGGTCCATTTTGGTACCTCAAAAGTATATATTAGTACCTAAACATTTTAAGAGGAACACTTTTGTACTATTTAGGTACTAGTATGTACGCTTCAGGTATTAATATGGACCTTTTAGGTACAAATGTGTACCTTTTGAAAAGGAACCACCCCAGTGACAGTTCGCGCACATATAATTCTGAGAGTGCAGAGACATCAGAAAAGATAAATCTCTGTTTATTTGACTTTAATATGTGTGTTTGTTTATTATATGTACTGTATATTCATGCTTTTATATAGTGCTTTAACAATGTAAATGGTGTCTAAGCAGCTTTAAAGTATATTATAAATATTAAATATATAAATTTATACAACAGTTCTGTCTGGATCTCGAATCTGATTGGCTGATAACTGTGATATATTTAAGTAATATGAGCATCCGTACAGCCTCTTTACCCTTTGTGTATTACTCCGCGCACATACAGCCAGCAACAAGCAGACACTACAGTTTGACAAATATTACTGCTGTTACACAACAAAATGTACTTTGAGGCTTTTTTAATCGTGAATGTGGCTGTTTAGACTGCAACTATGCAGTTTATTTGTAAGAATAGTGCCTATTTTAAAATATTTACAATTTCTGAGAGCTCGTTGGCGGCCAAAGATGGTTGACATTGTCTATCCACAAGATGGCGCCAGAACCGCATAATAAGCCCTTGCTCAGTGTGTTCTCTTAAAGAGCCCATATTATACATGAAATAGGGTCATATCTTGGTTGTAAGGGTCTCCAACAACAGTCTAATATGCATGCAAGGTCAAAAAACACTTTCATGGTCTTATAATCTGCATTTATTTTTACCTAATTATCCCAGCGACTCCTGTATGAATCGTCCAGGGATTCATTTGTTCCCAAACCCCTCCTTAGCGCGGAGCTAATCTGCGCTGATTGGACCGATGACAGTCTGTCGCGATTGGTCGACTGCCTTCAGTCAGAGAGGGAAATGGCCAATAGCTAATCAGCAATATAAAAGTAATCACAGTTCATACACGCTCGATAGTGTAGGCGTGGATTTTAGCTGCCACACTATGGCGAGTGGATAGTGCCACGGATAACCGAACGAAGGAGACAGTCGTGTACTCGCCATACCACACACACACACAAAAACACACACACACCTCCGGATGACAACGCTCCCGCTTCCGCCCGCACCCGCCAGGTTTTAGCCTGAGAACCCGCTCCGTTTTCTGCCCGCCGCGCCCGGTCCCGCTAGAGCGGAGAACACAACCAAAAATCACCCAGTATACAGTCCAGACAGCCAAGCTGTCTGTATAAACACATACACAGCACAAAGCACACAGAGCTCGTTCGTTCGTTCGTTCGTTCGCTCTCTCTCTCTCTCTCTCTCTCTCTCTCTCGCTCTCTCTCATACGCTCTCTCATACCAAGCAGACTCTCTCTTTCTAATTCGCATAGCAATATCCGTGATATCCGTGACTCAATATATCCATCTGCAGTGTGACTTCAATCAACCGGCATGTTTGTGTGTGTGTGTGTGTGTGTGTTTGTGGGTGTGTGTGTGTCTGGGTTTCTGCGTCAGAGGGTGGGGCCTCAGGTTTGAAATCTCCCGGGTTTGCGCGTGCACGTGAATAACTTGGTTTCGTTCGTACGTCATGGCGAAACACCTAATGAGTCGGTATCAAGGCGACTCGTTCGAAGCACTATGAGTCGACTCTTTTATAGATGAATCAACAGTTTTAAACACTGTATTCTTACAGATTTAAGCCTTAGCTGGATACTTCACTTCACTTAGAGCTGTGTTACACACTACATGGAGGGGAATTTTCAAAAACCCATAATATGGGCTCTTTAAACACAAATTAAAAAGCTGAAAAACGGAAGCCTCGTGGTTTTAAAGTGGACCAGATAGATTCAATAAGAAGCTGCGAATAAGAAGCTGGATTCCACCTTGTCCCTCCTTATCGCAAACACAACAGCAGTCTGGTGGGTAATCTCTGGATAGCATTTCATGTCACGTTCAGCCTTATAATCTTAAAATGTGAGCAAAATTTGCTGTTTTGTCATCACCTTAAGGGATCACACATTAGAAGCGCCGCTTCACATTACGCTATAGAGAATCATTCAAACACTAGCTCTAAAGTGACGTTGGTGAATTAGTAACGGCTTCTGCTGTCCTGACGTCAGCTGCAGATGTGAATGAATGGCGGAAGAAAGTAGTTCCTAACACAAAAGGGTTTTAGACTCTCTGTGTTTGATTTTCTTTTTTATGTACAAGATTGTGCTGTCGAACCAGGGCCGGAGTGGGACCCCTTTTCACCCCTGGAGTTTTAAGCCTTAGACCGGCCCACCTCAGTTCACGACTGACTATATTAAAATAAGGTCATTTCCAAATCAGTTTCTAATGACACTATCATGTCTTTTTTTGAGAAAACAGCTGCTTTAGAACTTCAAATGTTCAACAACCCTAACAGTATTATATGTCTCAACAATAAAAATGAAAAAAATAAATTACTCAGACAAGGATCAAACCCGGGGTGTACTGAGTTGTAATCTAACATGCTATCCACTGAACCACAACAGCTGTTCATTTATTGGTGACTCAATGATGGATAAAAAGAGCAGAACTGCGGAAAAATAATGAATAAGAAGACTGTGGTCAAGTAAATAAATAAATACATTTAAAAAGTGTGACTGCTGAGAGCAACAGATTCTGGAGCTAGGGACACCGGCCCTCACGGCCAAAAAACGGACTGGCCCACCGGGAATTCTCCCGGTCCTCCCGATTAGCCAATCTGGGCCTGCGTCGAACTGTTGTATAAACGCAAAATCACACTCGTAGCAGTGTGCTATGGCTGTATATCAGCACTGGTGGGGCGCTACGGCCTCGTGCCAACGCACAAGTGCTGATATACAGCCATAGCACACTGCCACTCGTGTGATATGATATTGCACATATATAAGTGATATTGCTCATATACAAGTATGATACAAAAGTCTATAATACATGACATAACATATAGATGTATGTTTATTTATCATTATTATCTGTCATGGTCTGGGTTTGTTCTTTAAAATGTGAAAAATCTTAAATAATTTACAAAATGTGCACATGGACGATCTGAACATCAGCTCTGAACTAATGTGTGTGTAAATGACAGGATTTCTACAGTCACAGTAACTGGATTGAGCTGGGTAACACTGAGCCCTGCACTGCCCTCATCAACCTAGAGGAAAACATCCCCAACCCTGCAGGTAACTGTGTGTGTGTGTGTGTGTGTGTGTGTGTGTGTGTGTGTGTGTGTGTGTGTGTGTGTGTGTGTGTGTGTGTGTGTTAACACAACTGCAGGTATGAATCTGTCTGATACGCTGTAAATAATATCTGGTTTTTGTATCATTATGGGAGGTTGCATTATGGGATGTTGATCTCTGCTCTGTCCACTTCTGATGTTGAAAATTCAGCTCTGCAACAGAGACTTTTACTGACATTTTAGTCATTTGAAATAATAAATTAATGTATAAGAAATAATAATATATAATATATATCTAGAGAAATGAATCTGTTGACACGTACAAAGGGAGAATGTCAAGCAAAGTGTTTCTGCAGAATGTTTGTTTATCAAGTCTCATTATGAAAATACAATGAATTCATGTTTACCTTTAGAGGCTGCTTATATTCACACACTGCTGGCACACAACTGTGTTAAAAGCCCTTATAAAAGTTCCTTTAAAGCAAATTATATTCAAGTTTTTGTGTGTCTGTGTGTGTAGAAAATGACTGATCATGATCGTTCCTCTAGATTAGACTCTTAATTCCTCAGGTTAAAAAAAAACTAGCCTAGAGCGCCACCTGCTGCTAGAAACTAGCCTATAAATCCAGCTAACCTAAAGATTATTTTCCCCCCGGAAGTCTGCTGTATGAACTATTTTTAGACAGTGTGTATTTCCATGATAGCTGAACAATATATCACTTGAGCATCGATATCGCAATGTGTTTAACTGCAATATTAGTCACAACACAAGATTAGATTATTTATTGAATATTAGAATATAAAGATATTATTAATATTATTGCTGCTTTTTAATCTTTTATTTTTACTCTGTCATTTATATCTACTTGTAATTTATTGTGTTTTATGCAGATACACTGAATAGAAAAAGAGTTGATCACCACAGTTGATCTAAATGAATCACCTTTTTTCAAATACACACACGCACGCACGCGCGCACACACACACACACACACACACACACACACACACACACACACACACACACACACACACACACACACACACACACACACAGTTGAAGTCAGAATTATTAGCCCCCCTTTGATTATTTTTATTGTTTAAATATTTGCCAAATAATGTTTAAAAGATTCAGGAAATTTTAACAGTATGTCTGATAATATTTTTTCTTCTGGAGAAAGTCTTATTTGTTTTATTTCGGCAAGAATAAAAGCAGTTTTTAATTTTTTAGAAGCCATTTTAAAGTCAATATTATCAGCCCCTTTACATATTTTTGTAATAGTCTACAGAACAAATCACTGTTATACAATAACTTGTCTAATTACCCTAACATGCCTAGTTAACCTAATTACCCTAATTAAGCCTTTAAATGTCACTTTAAGCTGTATAGAAGTGTCTTGAAAAATATGTAGTCAAATATTATTTAGTATCATCATGTAAGAGATGAAATAAATCAGTTATTAGAGATGAGTTATTAAAACTATTATGATTAGAAATGTGCTGAAGAAATCTGCCCTCCGTTAAACAGAAATTGTATATATATAATTGTATATATATATATATATATATATATATATATATATATATATATATATATATATATATATATATATATATATATATATATATATATATATATATATATATATATATATATATATATATATATATATATATATATATATATATATATATATATATATATATATATATATATATATATATATATATATATATATATATATATATATATATATATATATATATATATATATATATATATATATATATATATATATATATATATATATATATATATATATATATATATATATATATATATATATATATATATATATATATATATATATATATATATATATATATATATATATATATATATATATATATATATATATATATATATATATATATATATATATATATATATATATATATATATATTGATCTAAAATCCTTTTCTGCTAGTATTACCTCTCTTCCTGACATTACTTACCTTTCATCACCAGATGACTTAGTTTCTCATTACAACACTGGACTTCAAAATATTCTTAATTCTTTTGCACCCTGTCTGCTTTTCTCAGTCTGCCACGTGGTTTAAGCCAGAACTTCGGCGCATGAAAGCCAAAGGCAGACAAATTGAAAGACTTTCTAGAAAAACTGGCCTTACTGTCCACAAAGACATGTATAAAGATCACGTCATCCAAA